TTAATATATAAAATTAAATTAGCTAACCCTTTATTTAATGATTATAATTATATGGAGTGAGTTATCTGTATATTTTTCATAGTTGTTATATAATTTTTTATTTAACATTAATGGTTAATTAAATTACCGTAGTCAGTAGGTTATTTTATTGATAATCTTTATTTATTATTTTATTTTTAATTAACAAAAAAATTTAATTTAAATATTATAGAATGTAAGTTACTTTATTTTTTATCTTTTTACTATAATTTAAATCAGCTTATGTAAATATTTATATATTAATTAAAACTTTATAAGATTTTTAACGAGATAAACTGTACTTCCTGTATTATTAAAGTCATTTATACTTCTTTGAAAATTTTGATATTTATTACATTACATTTAAGGAATAAGTAATAAAAGAAAAGAATTATAACAAGAAAAATAAAGAAATATATATTTTATATATTAAATCCTTACGAGGATAACAAAATATCATATAAAATCCATATTTTATACTTCGATTAAGTAATTGCTACATGATAAATCTATATCTGCATGAATTATTTTTAAAGTCTCTTATAATTGAATTGTTGTAATTGTTTATTGAGTATGTATAAAATCGATCCATTTTAAATTTTTTTTCTCATCATATTTACTGTTTGAACTGTTAATTCTAATCATAATAGCATTGTTTATGATGTTTCATAAATTACTCTTTCCTTAAAATTTAGCAAACAAATTTTTAGAAGTTTTGCAAAATTTTAATATTTTAACAAAGTATATAAATTTATTTAAATTTAAATTTTTATTTTTAGATTTTAGCAATTGTACATGATAATATGAATACAATACTACAAAAAATTTTTTAAGTTTAAATGAGCAAAAATTTTGAATTTGATCTATATCATTAATATGTAAGATGTTTTGCTCATATTATTAATATAACTATACAAAAAGTAATTAAAGATTTTAATGCATTAGGATTAAATAATGAAAATGCATTAAATGAAAAGATTGAAACTATATATAAAGTAAGTTATATTCTATTATTTAATAAAAAATACTTTTATAATTAATTTAATTTTAATTTTTATTATTATTAAGCTTAGCTTAATTCTTCAAAAATTAGAATTAATTGTAAATATAAAAACCTATTAGAATTCTATAAATATGATGTTAGAAATATAATATAGCATTATCTGATGAAAAACTTAATATACAGGTTTGTAATTTATTTATAAATTTTATTTAAAGTATATTATTACACAAAAAATGGTAACTAAAATGTCACATATGTTTTTTATGTCATATAGTATTTATATTTCTTATATTTCTTATATCTATTATATTACATATAATTATTATATCTATTATATTACATATAATTATTATATTATTTATATTTCTTATATATCTTCAAACACTATATGCAATTATTTTTATATAAATAACCTTGAGTCTTAGGATAGTAAACAATAGGTTTTTCTACAAGGTTTTATTGTAAGTTTTAAGTATTGTCTTTAGTTTATTTTAATATACAACATTTGTACAGTATAGAATGCGAACATAAGCTTATTAGATATATTGAAGGCTTGATTTATACTACGCTGATCAAATATAGCCAATCATATGATTTGCATTAGTCAAAATAATCCATTTCGTCACTTTTTTAAAATGCCGAATGTTGGCTAAAATATAATCTAATTTCTGCTATTCATTGCTAAAACAATCAGCATTTTTAGTTATAGCTGATATTGCCCAATTCAGATGCCATACAAAAAAACATTCAACATTAACGATTAGTATTGATTTTATATATCACTAGGCAAAATAATACAATTCGTCATATTTAAAATGCCAAAAGTTGGCCAAAATATAGTCTAATTCTACTGATTATTACCAAAAAATCGACACTTTGAATAAATAGAAAATCAGTTACCAATCAGTATTTATGTTAAAAATTGATCAAAATTCAGCATAAATCAGCTTAAAATCGATCAACAATCACCAAAAATAATTAAGCAACTATTTATAAAATCGAAACTAATAAAACTTATTTTTGTTTATTTATGATTTATAATTTTATTTTATTATTACATAATAAATTACTCAAAAAGAATATATCTGTATTATATTTTATTCAAAAAAGATACATTTGATTTTTTAAAGATAAGAAAAATAAAGAAAACAGTTAGAAAGCTTACCAAAATATCACTTCTAAAGGCTTATCTTAATTTATTCCTAAAAAAAAGTAAAGAAAAATAAAGAAAACAGTTAGAAAACCACTGAAATACCACCTCTGAAAAGCCTAGCTTAATATATTTCTAAAAAAAGTAAAGAAAAAATAAAGAAATCAGTTAGAAAACCAACAAAAATATCACTTCTGAAGGCTTACCTTAATTTATTCCTAAAAAAGTAAAGAAAAAATAAAGAAAATAGTTAGAAAACTCATCAAAATACCATTTCTGAAGGCTTAACTTAATGTATTCTTAAAAAAAAGTAAAGAAAAAAATAAATAAAACAGTTAGAAACCCCATAAAAATACTACTTCTGAAGGTTTATCTTAATGTATTCCTAAAAAAAAGTAAAGAAAAATAAAGAAAATAGTTAGAAAACCCACTAAAATACCATTTCTGAAGGCTTACCTTAATGTATTCCTAAAAAAAGTAAAGAAAAATAAAGAAAACAGTTAGAAAATCTACCAAAATACTACTTCTGAAGGCTTGCCTTAATGTATTCCTAAAAAAAGTAAAGAAAAATAAAGAAAAAAAGGTTAAAAACCATCTAAAAGTTACCTCAAAATGCTTACTTTAGTTTCGAAAAAATAAATTTCCTAAAAAAAAACAAAGAAAAATAGTTAGAAACCATCTAAAAGTTACTTCTGATTTGCTTACCTTAATACCTAAAATAAGAATTTCCAAAAAACAAGAACAAAAAAAGGAAAATAATACAAAAGTTACTTCTGATTCGCTTACTTTAATTTCAAAATAAGAATTTCCTAAAAAAATAAGAAAAAAGAAAGGAAATGGTTAAATTTTCACCCAAAAATCGCCTCACTAGAAAAAAAAAAAGAAAGAAATAAATTTTTTCAGAATATTCTGAAAGTTTATCAATTTTATAATATAAACTGAACTAAAATTTCAAAATTTAGATATTATTTTTTACTTATTATAAATGCTACAAATGGATGATTTTGTATTATTTGATTGTAAAATCAACGATATTTTGATTATTCCTAAAAATGATATAAAAAATCGTTCTAAAGGAATGATAATTTGATCATTACTTAAAAATGATATAAAAAATCGTTATAAAGAAATGATGAAGTATTGTTCTAAAGAAACAATTATTTATCGTTCTAATAGAATGATAATAATTCATTATTGTTTTACTAAGATGATCGCACGTGTTAGCATTAGCATAAATAATGATCAATAGTAAATAATTGTCAATAGGAATGTTTTTTCCTGTTGTTTTCCACCAATTACTTTCAAATTGTTCGCCGTAAGTTCTAATTGATATATTGTAATCTTGATATTGAAAAACAAATTTCTTATTAATATCAGGCTGAAAAAATAAAACCTTAATTCTGTGAATTATCGGTTGGTAATAGAAATTATAATCTATATCCTGGAAATTTGTGATAGGAACTGTTTTGAATTTCATATAAAGAAATTCGTTAACATCAAGGAATTTACGACCTTCTTTGATGCTTTTTGGTAACAGAATTTTATCGGTGTAATTTCGACTATTATTAATCAGCTTAATTATTCTATCACTACAAGAATTAGATAATTGGTATTCTATAACAATTCCATAAATTCTCGGTAAATAACATTTGGTCATTCAGTATATAGCAAATGCATTTTATCTGTTATGACATCATCTAATGTGGTCCCACAAAAATCTTCAGTATCGATAAAGCACAAAATGTCAAATTATCATTGATTTGTTTGCCTTTTTCACTTTCTCTATCCGTTTCCACAGGTTGTTCTAATATTATCGATTTAACATCTTTATTTTGCTTGTTATTTAATGTCAAAAATCTAATTCTTATTAAATTATTTTCAATATGATAGTTATTATGAACTTACTATTTGATCCTCAATAAGTAAAAAGTCATATCAAAGACCGGGTTCCTCAATTGGTAATTCATCATTCTAAAGACCAGGTTCTTCATATGGTATGTTCGAATGAGAAGTTTCACTTTCATCTTCAGCAATATATTGATGTTTGTTGGAAATATGACATTTTAAAGCATAGGGAGTTGCAAAGGTTCGGAACCAATAGAAGCATTTATTAGGGTTCCGCAATTTGATTTGATATTTGAATATTTGATTTGAAAATCAAATCAAATACAAATACAAATTTATATTTGATTTGATTTGATAAAATTCAAATCCAAGAATCATTTTTTTGATCAAATCCAAATTAATCTTTGATTCGATTTGATCAAATTCAAATCAACTATTCAAGTATTTGATTAGATTTGAATCAATAGTAAACCCATTTCCAAAGCTTCAGAGATAGTATTAACTAAGAAAAACATAGTAAAAACGCCTCCGCAGCTTCAGAAATGCTTTTTTTACTAAGTAAAATATAGTAGAAAATGCTTCTGCAGCTTCGAAAATGCTTTTTTCACTATGTATTTTAAAAGCCTATGGAATTTGCAAGTTGGAATTATTTTTATTTTTTATATTAAATTAAAATTAAATATTAACTTCAATTTATAGTTATTAAAATAAAAAGGCAGATTTAACTGAATTAAATTTATTATTAAAATAATTATATATATGCTTACTATTTAGAATGTATTAATTTGATGTAATCTTTGTAGTTCGTTAACTTTTTTTTCTTTATTATAATGTTAATTTGTCATCAATATTTTTTTTTAGAAAAGTAGCTAAGTACATTTCTCTAAAGTGCTTTACCAAATACCATTGTAGCTACTAGATTTTCGATCGCTTTTAATTAAGAGAAAAGGTTTTTACTAATAAATAAGGTTTTTTTTGACCAGTATTTCTAGATTATTTTATGAAAATGACAACACATGTTTAATATATTCCTTTCATTTTCTTAAAAGCATTTAAAGACTTCACCTTTACAAAAAATGTACTCTTACCACCCCACGCCTATTGAATCAATGAAAATTCCTTTTCAACTTTAGCATTGCGAAAAATAGAAGTCTTCGCTTTAAATTTTAAATTTTTATTTTTCAAAAAAAAAAGAATATTTACAATAAAGTTTTTTTTTAGTATCTGAATTTCAAAGTCGATACTTACAGTAAATAATTTTTTTTTCACTGGCAATCTAGCTTTGTGAATCTCTAACTTATAGAATTTCTAGTAGTTTACAAATTTTTTTGTTTCTGAATCATTTATTCCTGTAGGAGTGTTGATTTATTCCTTTATACTTATCAAAAACTAGGTTTCTGTTTTTGGTATAAATGATTAAAGTAATATACAACCCTATGTTTTAATGCAATATAGATTTAAATAATAAGCTATATACGACTACAATAACCTTGAACTAATAATTAAGAACAGGTAAAGTATGTATGTTCGTATCACACTAACAATTAAAAGTCTTATTTTCTATTGCTTACATAGCATATACTCCTGAATGAAATGAAAATTTATATAAAACGAGCAGTTTCATTATCTCTATCATTTATCTTTCACTAAAAAAGAAATCAATAGCGTGTAATTTTCCTTTTACGTAAAGTTATGAAATATTGTGTGCATTTTTATGAATGGGTTTGGGTTTCATCAATATTATAACAAATTTTTCATAAATATAACTTTCATATATAAATAAATTTTTATTATACATATACTTTATATAATTAACTTGAACAAAAAATAAAAAATTTAAAATAT